AAAGGACAAAATTCAAAGACGTACCAGAGAAGAGGGCATGGGTAAAGACTGGCCTGGCAACAACAGGAAAAAATGGACTCAGCTCTCCTCTAGCCTCACGGCCCTGGGCCCTCAGCCTTCCTTCCCCATCCTCCTGTCCAGAGTCTTCTTGGTAGCTTGAGCAGGGACCAGGGATGGGAGAGGGGGCCAGGCAGTGGCGGACTGGAAGCTGAATTCAACTCCTTCACAGGATGGTTTGAGCCCTTCCCATACATATGATCAACAGGCAACAGAGCGGGGAAAAAAAGAAAGATCCTTATTTCTGACAGCTGCCCACTCCCTCTATCTGTCCTTAAGCATGTAGGCTGACTGCATTTCCATGAGGCTAAAAGTTGCCAACAGAGCCTCCAGATTTGAAGAGAGTCTGCCCGTGGATTTCAGCCCACAAGATGTCACTAGTACATTCTGGTGGACATGCGTTGTTTTTTAGCCACTCAACACCCATTCTCATAACAGCACCTCGGCTGCATTGTGAAGAATTACCCCCCCCCCCCACTCCATATGAGTGCAGCTGTAGTCAGACGCATTACGGTGCCCTGTCCTCCCCCAGCCCAAGCTCACCACCCAGAACAACCTCCTCCACCTCTCCTGGGCCTCTGGGTCTCCAATATACATGACAAGGACAGAAACACATCCAGAGAGGATTCACTCAAGGTGTGGCCCCTCAGAAGCCCAGTTCCTCAGCTGTTCTTTTAGTTCTATGAGTCTCTTATAGCTTTTTTTTTTTAACTGGAGTATTGTTAGTTTACAACATTGTGTTAGTTTCAGGTATACAGCAAAGTGATTCAGTTACACATACATATCTACTCCTTTTCCATTATAGATTATTACAAGATACTGAATACAGTTTCTGCTTTCTCTTCTTGTTTTTATCTTCAGAAGCCTCATTGGACCAGTGGGGAATGGAGCCAGGAGAGTGGGCGGTTCTCCCCACTCCTAATTTATAAAAACAAGGTGTGCCCCCCACCTTCAGCCCCCAAGCAGATGCCCCGGGCCACAATGCTGGAATGGCAGTGGCAGAAATGAATTAAGGTTTGGTGTAATACGTGCATTATAAGTCACAGGTCAATATGCTGAGGATCAATGTTCTATTACACCCAGAGGAGAAAACGGCAAGGCTCGCATCTGAAGTAGCCCATTAAGCTAGGAGCATACAGGTGGGGTGGGGTCAGGTAGGCACCGGAATACCAGCATGTAATAAGAGTATTTCACAGCTTTCGAATGACTTTGGGCAGGGAATGCTCTCTCCTGCAGCCAACTGTATCAGATGTACCTCCCTTCACTTATTTACAGTATCTGCCTGGACTCGACTGGTCACTGAGACATCATATTCTTTTACCTTTCCCACCCCTCTCCATGTGTGTGCTAAATCACTTGAGTCGTGTCTGACTCTTTGTGACCCCATGGGCTGTAGCTCACCAGGCTCCTCTGTCCATGGGATTTTCCAGGCAGGAATACTGGAGTGGGCTGCTATTTCCTTCTTCAGGGGATCTTTCTAATCTAGGGATTGAACCTTCAAAACCCCAGCTCTCTAGTTGACACCGCCCAGCCGTGCCCCCGTGATCATGAGGAATCAGAATGCACAGGACACATTGGGGGGAATTCCAGTCCCTCCTTTTCACACTCATCTCCCCAGCCTACACAACAAACCACAAGGACTGTGTGCACACTGCACCCACAACAGAGAAAGAACGAACTCAGGAGTCAAGCATCCTGTGGAATCAGCTTGGGCAAGTATCATATCCTGCCTAAAAGAGACACACGGTCTCCAAACAGAACAGAAAGCCTCTGGAGTTTTGCTGGATGAGCAGTTAATCCTTAAAATAGTCCTTCACTCACACCCAGTCAAAGGACCACCTCACCATGCCTCCACCTGCCTCACTTCCAGTCTGAAAGTTTTATACCACTTCAGTAGGTTCTCTATATTTGAAAACTTTCGCTTCCAGAAAAAAAAAAAATCCTTTAAAATGTGAGCTTGCAGGACAGAACTCCAGAGAGCTCCCTTCTCTTAATCACTCAGTGATTACATATTAACATGGGGATGAATGGAGGGGTCTCTCAAGACCCTCCCTCTCCTCTTCCCTCTCCTCTCTTCAGAGTCCAGAGAGGACCTCATCCCTACCTATACCTTCAATTATGTCCTAAAGATCCATGACTCCCAGGGACTTCCCTGGCAGGCCAGTGGTTAAAACTTTGCCTTGCAACTCAGAGGTTGTGGGTTCGATCCCTGGTCAGGGAAATAAGATCCCACAGGCCTTACAGCCAAAAAATCAAAACATAAAACTGAAACAATACTGTATAAAATTCAATTAAAGACTTTAAAAATGCCTCACATTTAATGTTCATGAAAGTTATGCTAGCCATAAATTTAAATTAAAAAAAATCCACAACCCACATATTTTTCTTTGTCACTCAAGCAGCTCCCCTGAGCTCCAGACACTCAGACCTAACTTCTTATCTGGCATTTTCACCTGGATGTTCCACAGGCACCTCAAACTCCCCTCGTCCTCTCCCACGTCTCACTTCTGGTTCTCCTCCCCCATTTCTTGTCTCAGTGAGTGGCTCTGCCCTCTATCCAACTCAGCAAGCCAGAAACCTTGACGCTGTCTCTCCCTATAGCCACCAGCCTCACCAAGCCTGGCTGGTCTCACCTCCTAAATACCTCTCTGGTCTGCCCATCTCTCCCCCTTTCCACTGCCCTGTCTCTCAATTCAACAACTAAATCTCATGCCTGGAGGACTACCCCAGGTCCTAGCGCTCTTCCCGTGCCCTCCAGTCCATCCTCCAACACAACTAATGGATCTTCGAAAACGCAAATCTCATCATCCGATATCCTTGAATGGCTTTTCACTGCTTCTGAGAAAATGACCAAAATCCTGAATGAGTACTGCCCAGACCTGTCTGCTGCTCTTGCCCATTGCAGTTCGGTGCTGGCCCACCCCAGCTCTCCACACTGGCCTTCATGCTCCCGCCCCTCAGGGCATGTAAACCAGGTTCCCCAACCCCACCCCCATTTCCACCCTCACCTCCTACTTTGCTCAACAAACTGCTCTGCTTCTCTCGGAACTTACTGGAGGAAACCTTTGCTGACTTGAGTCCAGCTCAGGGCTGCCTTCTGTAATAACCCTCGGCACCTCATCCTCTCCCTTTTTGGTACATTTCGTGATTGTGCTTGGAGACTATCTCCCTCACCAGCCTGTAAGCTCTGTGAGGGCAAAGACCATGCCTGACTGCTCACCCTCTAATCCCTGGCACTGCCTTTAACACAGGCTTACTTAACATACAATTATGTAAATCTATCCTGCATCAAAACCACATGTTAGTTTTTCCGATTATGTAAATTAAGGGCTTAGGTAGGATCTCACCTCACAGGATGTGAAAAACAGTAATTTCTGAGTGCATTTGCAAAGTGGATGAAATGAGGCAACAGTTAAAATGAGGCCAAGTGACTAGTTCAAGAGTGGGAGACAGTGCTCAAAAGAGACAAAAAGATAAGCATCGGTCAGGCAAAAAGGGCAGTGGGCAGATCCCAGAGGACAGTGACTGAAGGATGGAAAACTGCAGGGCCGGGTTGGTGCTTGGCAAAGGACAGGAAAGAAAAGAACAAGGTTAGTTGCCCACACCATAATGTTTCTAAGGCCAGTGCCCCGCTTTTGCCAAAAGGTTGTATTGAATGTTCCAGGTGTCCAGCAGAGAAATGACCCAAGAGGATCACAGAAATAGAACAAAATTTCATAGGGCGCTTCCCGCCTTTCCAAGCACCCCTCCCCACTCTCCTACTCCTGCCAAATTGCAAGAAGTCATCCACCAGCCGCAGATGCTGAATTATTCAATTATTCTAGCAGCTTTCAAAACACATGTGCAGCTAGAAAATCGCCCCCAAAGAAAAGAATGGTGTTATTTAGGCTACTAGGTCATTTCTTGAACCTCTCTTGAATCCTGGTTGGCCACGGAATTGTTCTTCAATTGAACAGTAGCTCATTGACACCCACCCCTCCTAGCAAAAACAGAGGCAAACATATAATCATAAGACATCTGCTGCTAACTGTGCACTTCCAAGCAGGCAGGTTACTTTTGGATTTTGCACAGCGGCCGCCAGGCTCCCACAGTCACCCAAGATTGAGACCTGATGCAGCATCTGAAATAAATACCAACACCAACCATCCACTATCTCCCACCACACACACCAAGCTGCCTTGTTTCCATGGGGGGAAAAAAGGGGAGGGGGGATAGAAAAAGGACTTGTGCCTGCTAACCTCCATCACAAAGCAAAAATCACTGAAATGATCTGTCTGCATGTGGAAACCCTTCTCCAACACCTCACCCATAGCCCACCCACCACTGCACGTCAGCTCTCTGAGATATTTTCTTTGAGGAGAACACACCAAAGAGAATGCTTTAGGGAAAAAAGAAAAATGAGTCACGAAACAAGCCTTTGAGACTCCATTTTAGGACCGAGTTTCTTCAGGAATCCTCTATTTCTAGCTCTGAAGAAGCAGAGCATGAAGATGAGTTGGGCCAAAAAAAAAAACAGCAAACATTTGCCAGAGGTGACTTTTTAAACTCCAAATCAATTATAAAACTCACAGAGGAGAGAATGACATTTTTCATCCAATTAAAAGCAATCAAAGCCCCAAAGTCTCAACCACCACCCTCTACACCTCAAATGTGGCTACCAGAAAGTGAATTGCAGTGATGGGTGGAGGCGCATCTCAATCGAAGCAGATTAAGGCAACCTTGCAAACAGTCACTTGCCCACACTAGGAATGTATGCCAGTCAAGTGACAGGGTGGCAGCAGGGATCAGTGCTAGGGAAAACATCTGCTTGTTCACATAGCTTGCTGAAAGGCGGGACCAAGCTCCACCATCATCCACTCTTTCCCAAGTGTCCCAGGACATCAACAGTCATGGGGAAAAAAAGCACGCCCTCATACCTCCTTCTTCCTCTCATTCTTCCTTACCATTTCTCCATCTGTTTAGCTCCATCTCCAGATGCTGGATAACATTCTTCAAAGTCTTATTTTTCTCTTTCTCTTTTTCATATTTCTTCTTCCATTCTTCAGCTGTCAGTTCCAGGTTCACAGAGACTGTATTCTTGATGGTCTTAGCCCTGGTGTGAAAAACATAAGGGAAAAATTCTGAGCAGAGTTACTAGCATTTGCTAAATCATGAATATAATTAAACTTCAAATTCCTTTCACACCAGAAGATTAGGACTTGGGGAGCAGGAAGGATGCTAGAGCTTTTACTACCACCCTCTTAGCTGCTTTAATAGCCCCACTATTTCCAAGGCTCCAAAACTCACCTTTTCCTTTTTTTTTGCCTCCTTTTCCTCCTACCTGTCTCTAGACCCAACGGGATTGTCATTTAAATTGCCTGGAGTCTCTCTCTATTCCCTCTGCCACCATTTCTACTCCCTCTGCCATCACCTTGGCCTATGTTCTCAGCACCAACCTGTGGTTAGAGCCTAGCTTTTCAGACATTCGGCATCCTCCTTTAAGCATCCTGCATGCCACTTTCAGATTCATCTGCCCAGGAAGAGCTTCCTTTCGATTCAATTAACGTCTGTGAAACACTGGGGATTTACCACGATAAACGCGACACGGTCTCTGGCCTTAGAGTTTACAGTTTCTCACAACAATAGACATACAGACAAATCACTTCTTTCTCTTACGCACACTTGGTACCTCAGCGTCACCCCTGAGGTACTGAACGCAGGTCGGCCCACGCCTCCAGGGACAGATGGTCACTTCACCAACTCAGGGTGGCCAGGCGAAACCACGGCTCCGAGCTGAGCACATCCTCTCCCACCACCCAGTCCCCAAGAAGGAGCAGAGGGCCCACTTTTCTCAGATCATCCCATTTTTTTTTTCAAGAAAAGTCAGAAATTGAGATTTTTCTTCATATATCCCAGTTGAATATAATTTTTCAAACTGATATGTGGGATATACAAACAAGTCTAATGGCCACCATTCTGCCACTTGTGGTATAAAGCGTGACCACCTAGGGCAGATGGCCTGGCGGGGGATGCCCCAGTGGAGCTCTGGACAGTCAGTCAAGGCGGTGCCAGGTCCAGTCAGTAATGAAAGCAAAATACATGATGCGCCAACTTATGCACAGAAATGAACATGTAAGGTTTGTCCAATTGAAAAGCAAATTCATGGTGGCAGAACTCTACTTATTACATACTTTTTAAGAAGTAAAAACTTCTTTTAAAAACTTCATTTATGTACTATCCCCTTTTATTTGCTACTGACTTTTTCACTGTGAACTCCCACCAGTTCTTGTCCTGTCACATTTGCCAGCACTATCTGATGTGTGATTCGGGTTAATCATTATTGTCATGAAATGACATTGTGGACACAATTTCTATTTCAGGAAAAGAAATTCAGAGATCCTCACCAGTGCAGCAGATGTCACTCTAAAAATTAATTTCTAAAGCAGATAATTAAATAACCCAACTGTCAAAAGAAGAGTTAAAACAATTTCTATGCAAGACTCTACTTAAGAATTAGTATAATTCTCCCTCACTCACTGTAGCTTATGGCTGCTGTCTCCAGAAGTGTTTCCACCCTGTTTTCAAATAGTAGCAACTTCATTGCTACTTTAAAGTCTGTGCCAATTTGACACACTCACCTCACCACTCCCCCAACATCCTTAGGCAGTGTCATGGATGTTTCTCAGATACAAGCACAAACACTGAAGCATCCATTTTAACTGAGTTAAGTCAGAAAGTAAAAAATAACCTATGGCTGAAATGTTTACGGACATTTAAGGATATGCTTTGAGGCTACTAATCTTAGTTATCGCACCACAGAGTCTCTTGATGATTTCCAATGATACAAGAAGGAGAAGCATAAAGCTTTTATGTTGTAATCTGGCACGTTTAGCCAGAAGTACAATTTTGTGAGCAGACCCAACAAGATTATCAGTGGTATAACTGATCCTCATTCTCAAAGTTCTCTTAAGAGAACTTTGTTGAGAAAATTCTTTTTCTCCCACTTCTGCAGTAATCAGAGTCCTGGCAGGAAACAGTCTTCTCAAATTGGGAAGAGTGTAACAAAGGTATGGTAAGGGTGATGGGAAATAACAAGGGATAACAGGTAATATACAGATAATAGCTCAGATGGTAAAGCGTCTGCCTGCAATGCAGGAGACCCGGGTTCGATCTCTGGGTCAGGAAGATCCCCTGGAGAAGGAAATGGCAACCCACTCCAGTATTCTAGCCTGCAGAACTTCATGGACAGAGGAGTCTGGCAGGTTATAGTCCATGGGGTCGCAAAGTATCGGACACGACTGAGTCACTAACACACACACACAAAATAGTGATGGGGAGATCCGTTACCACTCTTAGGCTGAAGGGGGCCCAGAGGAAGGGAAATATAAGAGGAAAGCTATCTAGACTTGCAGATACAGAGGCCAGACAAGTGGTTACCAGCAGGGAGAGGGAAGGGGGGAAGGGCAAGACAGGGGCAGGGGGTTAAGAGGGACCAACCACTATGCATACAATAAATAAGCTACAAGGATATAGTGTGTAGCTCAGGGAATATAACAAATATTTTATAATAACTACAAACAGACTGTAACCTTTTAAAATTGTGAATCACTGTGTTGTACACCTCTAACATATATTGACAATATCATACATCAGCTATGCTTCAATTTAAAAAAAAAAATGTAAATTTAAAAAACTGTTAAACCCTTAAAATAAAAATGCTGCCCTGTCAAAGCTGTTAACAGCCAACCTGAAGTGACCCTTCATGGAAGAAGCCATGAAATTAATACCCTGACATCACTTTCTTCTCTCCTTTTGAGTACCTGACTATGTTCCTCTCCCATTGGTGGAACCTAACTGGAAGTCAGAAGCAAAGGAGCCCATTGTAGTTGTCCAAGCTGGTCGCTGTCCCAGGGTGCAAAGCAGAGCAGAGATGGTACAGAAACAATCCAGAGGAACAGATGGAAGATACACAACACAACTCCCATTTGGAACTGAGAATAATAGCGGGAAACCATGTCTTCTGCTTCTGCCCTAAGCAGACTCCATTCAGTCACTAATGAGGCAGACCATCATGGAGAACATGAAGAAACCAGCCAACACTGATTAGAAAGATATTAATTATCCCAAATGTGTTGTACAGATTTTAAATAATCTGAAATAAAATCTCAGGAGATTTGCATGTATGTATTGAAATTGACAACTTGATTCTAAGATTTATAATAGAAATAAAGAAGGCCAACAATAGAAAAGACAATTTTGAAGGACAAAGAGGATGGAATATAAATACACTATAAAGCCACAGTAATTAAAACTGATTAAATACTCCAGAAACTTTAGAACAGAAACAGAATAGATTATCCACAGACACTCAGCCATGTAGCCATCTGATGTACAACAAAGGTGTGCATATAACGCAGAGGGAAAGGCCTGTCCTTTCAATGTATGGTGCTTTATTGACTCCCCCAATAACATATGAAAAATTCTATACAGATGAATCACATGCATAAATGTGAAAGGTAAAACAACAAAGCTGCTAGAAGAAAACAGGAGAGTATCTTTAAGACCTTAGGGTAGATAAAGATTTATTTCTTAAATAGAACAGAAAGAAAAGATAAACTTGACTTCATTAAAATTAAAAACCCTCTCTTCATTAAAAGTCACCATTAAAGGAGTTAAAACATAAACTACAAAGTGGGAAAAGATACAAACGATCCATGTATCTGACAAAGGACTTATCCAGAATAATCCCTATAAATCAATCAGAAAAAAACACACAACTGGTAAAAACACCAGGTAAAGATTTGAATAGGAACTTCACAGAAGAAGTGCCAATAAATTGTACCCTGAAAAGTGTGCCAAATGTCATTAGCCTTCAGGGAATAAAATGACAAAAAGATATATTTACACACCGAATAGAACAGTTAAAATTTTTTAAACTGATAATGCTAAGTGTTGTTGAGGATGCGCAATGACTATAACACTCACCTGCTACTAGACAGAATGTAAACTATTCCAATCATTTTGGAAAACTCTTTGGTACTATCTATTAAAACTAAATACTCACAGGTATATAACCAACAAAAATGAAGACATATGTTCACCTAATGACATGGCAATCAATGTCATAGCAACTTCATTTATAATAGCCCCAAGATGAACACAATCCAAATATCCATCAACAATAGAACGCATACATACATATTGATACAACAAAATACTGTATACCTATGGAAAATAAACGGCTCATAATCTAACAAGGTAGTGAACTTCAAAGATAACAGTGTTGCATAAAAGAAGCCAGATACAAAACAATACTGTATGTCTTTATTTGTAAACAGTTCAAAGACAGCAAATAGTTATCTATGTTGACAGGAGTCAGGATGCCATCTACCCCTGAGAGTTGGGTATTGACTGGGAGGGTGTAAAATAGAGGTTTCGGCAAAAACCACTACAATATTGTAAAGTAATTAGCCTCCAACTAATAAAAATAAATGGAAAATTTAAAAAATTAAATAAAATAAAGGTTTCTAAGATGCTGGGGTGATAGTTACATGTGTATATACATTTGTAAAATTTTTACTGTGTTGCATACTTATATTTACTTTACTATATGCATGTTATACTCAACATAAGTTAAGAAGAATAAACTGATGTGTAAAGAAATCAAGTCAGATAAAAATTTCCAGATTGTGAAATAAATAAGAGGTACTAAGAGAGACAGTAAACTTCCATGCCTGGAGTTTGTTGTGTTTTTTTTTAATACAATATTCTCCTATCTAGGATGTTGAAACCAACTTGCAAAGAGGAATATAGAGTGTCTCAGTCCCTCACTACTACAAGAGACCTAGAATAAAAGGATGATCTACATCTACAATTTCTTTTGCTTTTTACTGTGAACTTTAAGAAAATCTACAGAGTAAAAGGGCCTCATGATTAGGTTCTATCTAATTTGCCACTCACAAGTCCCTCTCTTCCTTTGTCAGGATTTAGCTGGTTGCCATCAGTATGAGTTAGCTAGTGATCTGATGGGTTTTTGTTTTGTTGTTTTGCTTTGTCTTGACTTGTCCACTGTAGAGCATGTCCTATATCTTTCAGCTCTCATACTCTTTCCTC